CCCCCCCCCCCCCCCCCCCCAAATATCTATAGGACGATCCATTTTAATTCGAAAAGTCGTTTATTACGCTTTTTTCCAACTGGTTGTGGCTCCGTAAATATTCCTTCGAAATTAAACTGATACGCACCAGAATAGTACAGCACAAGCCTCATGAACGTCAATGCTGACATCGAGATCATCTTGTCTGACACTGGGACCTCTTAAGTTTGTGGTACCTAAAGGAGAAAAGTGTCGTTCACGTTTTCTTATTTCAAAATGTTTATGGTGCAGAAACCAATGGTGGGTTAATCAGACAGCAAAGTAAACAGCCCCACAAAATACTCTTAATACCGATCTCATGAAAGGGAATTTCCTAAAAAATTTCGATACCCTGTTGTTCATTACGGGTTTTAGGATCATCATTTGGTCTCACATAAAACTTAGCATCGACAACGAGCAGTATGAATAACTGATAAACCTCCAGCTGCGAAAAACTAGAATGGAGATTTTGAATCTGAACAAGAGAAGAGAGAGAAATATGGTCTGGAGAGTGTTACATTTAGTTCAGCGCGAATGAAGGAAACATCAAAACAAGATATCTTCTATGATTTCTCGATACATGACTAAGACGCCTCTGTTGTTTGCGACAAGAAAAGTGAAATATCGATATCAAAGCAAATCCTTGTCATTTTTCACAGCAAAAATAAGCATGGTAGGTCAGTCTCCTAGTTTGATTCTCTGTTTAAGGCACTCTAGCTGCCTCCACCCTCCTTTTTAGTGGTTTCGTTGCTCACTTTGTGTCGTTAACACACCTTTTGTTTTCTAATTGATTTACTTTTTTTGTTTCCTTTTTCTTAACATCGTAATTTAATGTAAAAATAAATAATAAAACAATACTTTAATTCTCTGTGTCTAAGTGTGAATGGCCATCACAAAGAGTAAGTTGGCGTTCGAGCCTAAGCTCTTTATCAGAGTCGCTCTGACGAAGGGCTCACTCTTGAAAGGTCAGCTATCGGATCTTTTTATGTTGAACAATCCACAGTGTCATCTCAGTTGGTGAAGCCTCATTATCAAATTACTGAACAGTTTTATCATGCATAAAAAAAGTAAACTCGCTTTGTTTTCTTATGTCTCAGAAAATTAAAATATGTCATGCTCGGTGGCTCTATTGTTTCCCAAGGTAACAAACGACATGGAAATTGAATGCAAATGTCAATTGCTTATTAAATAGCTTTAACGCACTTATGAATACAAAATTACTGAAAAAGGAAGCAAACTGTGTGTCTGTCGTGATTATCAGCTTATATATCTAAGAAAGTTTCTTCGCAGTGACAAAGATGTATAACAAGCTTTTCCGATTTCTGAGCGAAACCCATTTACTTCAAAACAGGCGCACATTAGATTAAATGGAGCAAATCTTAACAAACATTTCCGGGTCGAAAAAAAGGAATTCAACTGTTTTCCTCTCTCGTTCGTGGTTCTTCATCACTGTTCGGAACCGAACTCAAAAACGGGAAACCCCAACGATCTTGATTGACAATCGTTTGCCGGTAAAACTTCAGTGAAATTGAACGTTTAACGTAGCAAGTTCAAGGGCATAAATCCTACCGATCTTGTTGTTAATATTGACACTTCAAAAACCAAACTTTGGTCCTTACATTGAGTTTTAAGCCCAACCGAAACAATATACATTACCCACCAATGGTGAAATGTTCACTGTTTTAGCAAATTGAAACATTCTCAACAAGTACTGCCTAAGCATAAAATGTTATGCAGAAGTCTAGTTATGATACGGCACCTAAACTCTGAGCATGAATGTTTAAGCCAATACCTACATACCTCAAGACAAAAATAAATAGCCAGGCAGGTTTGGTGTTTAAAAAACGAAATGCCTCGCATTAAAAGGTATACGAAGAATTAATATCGATACAGAACACAATTACATGCAACAGACAACAATCTCATCCAAGGGCATCAACGAGGCGTAAATTTTGGCCTTTAGCCAAATAAAAGCAAACTCGTTCTCGAGCCCACGCTCGCTCCCCACCAATCCCTCGAGGGTAAGTGTCTTGTCGTGCCCCGCGCTCATTAGATGAGCGGAGAGTGACCTCTCTGAACAAGATTTAAAAGCGTAGGTGATGCAGAGAAAGCACTGCGTTCCCCCAATTGTCACTCCATGAAAATATACATACATTGACCAAGAAGAAATATATGCAGACCCTTTGCGCCGGTTATTCAAACAAAGTTTAGCCGTTGTTTAACAAAACCGCGCTCCAAACCATCTTCAAGGTAGCCGAACGTTTTATCTGAACTTCCTTTTTTCGAAAAAAATTTCAAGAGCGCCGAAAGCTAATGGTGAAATACATTTATTTAATTAAATGAACTCTTTTATAGAGAATCTCCGAGGCCCACTGCTAACGTAAAACCGCGGTGTCGGTAAGACCTGGTGTAAATAACCAGCCCTTACTGTCCGACTCCTTTCACACTAGCGTAAAATAAGAAATTCGTCAATACATTTTGAGTCATGTTTCGTGATGTTCATTACTACCTAAGTTGAATGAGACGACAAAATACTAATTCGGTCACAAAAGTAAAAAAAAACCACACACACAAATGAAAGAGGAACAGGAATGGTTTAGGTTGAAAAAGGTCAAAACAGTTCAGCGGTTAAGTATATGCAAGATGTACACCCCTCGACTAAGGTTTTGTATGTGCAAACTTTGTCTAACGTGTAAACCGGTTGGAATTCCAGACATGGTGTGATACCTGCAGTTATTTAACGATTTTTTACGCTTTTGGATCATTTGCTTGCGTATTGATGTGATTCATCATAAGTTGTTTCCAGAGACTCTAGGAAGGAGGAAGTGAGGTTATGGCTGAGTGTGTGCTTCAAAAAGAAGAGCTACAGTGTCGAAAATGCAAACGGTTGCTTTTGAAGTACTGTGAAATCGTGGCTTCACTCGCGCCCTTAATTGTATCGCAACCATACACTTCAGACGAACGGAGGGTTGGCTGTTAAAATTAACCATATTTTAAGCATACTCTCTCGAATCCACCCCAGTCGTCTCCCCTTAATATGATAAAAAGCTTTATCAACACGTACTGTTCTACGCATTCTTTAATTGTAAGGATAACTTCAAATTTCGTCTAAAAGCTAATCATTCTT